CAACTTCAATTAACTGCGTATTTAGCTCTTCAAAGTTAAGCTTCGCATTTCACAAAGTTTTTCGAAGGCATTTCTTAACAGATTGAACGAGTCTTTCGTAAAATCCACCGAGCCACGGGGCACGCTCCGTAATGAAACTCCATTAGGTACCATTCTCGTTTATATACAGTTTAAATGACAAATCTTTAAATGTCTTTCCATTGTCGTTAATGATAAAATTTGGAATTCCACTTCTGGCCTGGAAACGCTTTAGAGCTCGAATCAAAGCATCAGCTCCCATATCTGGCGCGAGTTCTAAATGAATAGCACGTGTACTAGCGAAAGTAATTAGAATAATATACGATTTGAATATTGTATTTTCATTTCCAAAAATATTCTTCACGAAAATAGGTCCGGCATAATCAATTCCGATTTTTGCGAAGGGGTGTCCAACATCTGTCAGAAAATCGGGAAGATCGGGCTCGGTGGAAACGTTGTAAGTTTTCCCTTGAATTCGTTTGCACTTTACGCAGCTCCCTAAAAATTTTCTGACCTTTTCCCATTTACGTACAATCCCACATCGCGATCGCAGTTCCGTTAATATTTCTTTTACTCCAATATGACGCATGCATTCGTGGCATCGCGCTAAAATTAAGTCAGTAACGTGTCCTTCTCTTGGTGAAATCAATGGAAAACGCGTTTCAAATGACAAAGGCGCATTACCAATTCTACCTCTATAACGTAAAAGTTTATCTTCATCTTCAAAAAGACTCAAATTCGACTTCAAATCCCGAAAATTTTTTATCCTCCTTTCGGACCCATAAGAGCCACCTTAACCTCGCATTTTCAAGCTCCTCGCAAGTAAGTTCCTCAATTATCGGCTCAGTTTTAGCAATGTGCGCTCGAATTTTGTTTACGAAACGAAGCGCATAAGCAGTTACTCGAAGTAATTCATTCAACTCACTAAATCTTTCAGCGGCAATTATCGTATTTAAACTCGCTCTATTTTCAGTCACCAAATTCACTATAGTCGATTCGGCATTAATATCGGAATTCAAAGGCTCCGAGATTGAGTTATGTTCAGTTGTTGGACAAAAGTAAGAAGGCATAACCAAAAAATCGGGGCCTCGCCATCAAGTCGAATTCATTTTCAGCCTTTGGCAGCCTTTCCACTAGCCTGGGTTAAAACATATCCGGGTCAGGGCCTATTTTAGTGTGCAGTATTACACACTTTGTGCAGTATTAATTTAAAAATGTGCAGTATTGATTTCGAAAATGTGCAGTATTGAATTTTGGGATTTGTGAAAATGTCTAATTGCCGCTATCCCAGATTCTCGCTTTGTTCACAAAATGTGAATTTTCCCCGTCAGTTCGATATAGAGGTCATGTATTGCAAATCTCGTATGACCATCGGAAAGACTCTCTAATCAAAACTTAAAACAAAACGAAATGACTAGAAATTTACAAAAATTGCAACAACAAAATTTCCTATAAAAAATGTAGTTATAAATGTGCAGTATTAAAAATTTCTTAAAATAGGCCCTGATCCGGGTTAAAAGTTATCTGTTTCTGCGTCGCGTTCCCGCTAACCCACATGAAAAACGGATAAGTTTTAGAACGGGTCTCAAAGTGGGTCAGTTTTCACCCAGGTATCTTTTGACCCACCTGCGAGTTAATGGAAACGCCGAAACCCGGATAACTTCTGACCCACTTGCAACAACAGCAACGTTTAAAAATTGAGATGGCGCCAAAAATCGAAAAACGAGATCCTGGATGTCAATGTTGTTTCCATTGGCCTAAAACGATAGAAATTGAAGGATTATTGATGCAAATACTGATTTCTCTTACAACTTTTTACCCTGGATACATTTTAACCCGGCTTAGTGGGAACGATCAAAAGCGGATTAAAAACGGGTCGAAGAAAAATGCCGTTTCCATTGACTCACTTTAGAAACGAATAACTTGTAACCCAGATATGTTTTAACCCAGGCTAGTGGAAAGACTGCCTGCGTTGTGTTCAGTTGTTGGCCAAAAGTCAGGGGCATAACCAAAAATCGGGGCCTCGCCACCAAGACGAATTAACTTTCAACGTCAACGCTTTTGCTCCCCTTGACAAAATATCGGCGGGATTTTGCTAGGAAGGGCAGTAACACCATTGCGAAGGCGCAGACAACTCAATTATTTCAACTACACGATTTTGAACGAAGGGTTTTAGCGTTTTGCTAATGCTTCGAGTCCACCACAGTGTAATCTGCGAATCACACCAATAAACGCATTCCCGAACTTGAATTTTCTTGCTTAACGCTGTTCATCAATCTCGCGTGAATTAACGCTGCTAAAAGTTCCAGACGGGGGACGGTTTCCCCTCCGATAGGCGCGAAGCGTGTTTTGGATGAAACAAGACACGAAATTTTCTCGCCAAACTTCAGTGTATACACAATAAAAACATGTACGCATTTAAGAAGTCGTCGCAAAACCCATGTAATATCATCAGCAGGGGCGCAGTGGGAGTTAACTTTTTTGGGGGGGGGGCAAAGCTGAAAATTTTCCGATAAAACTATGATTTAACCTTTTCTTAATACTCTTCTTGAAGGCTGTTTAAACTATCCATGCTGCATACACTTGATACTACAATATGGATCCTTCGTTATACACCTTAAATATCAACCAAAAGCCTTTATTGTAACAAGACTTACCAAATATAAACCCTACAAATCACGTTAGTGTTTATAGCAAGAAATTTTTTTCTAGGCAAGTTTAAATCCCATTACAACTACTGTGCACTTATCTATGCTAAATCTTTAATAAATATAACGCGTCCAAATGAATAGTTCTCCTTTAAATAATACTTATAAATATTACGTTACTAGAGCAGTATCTTCCTCAAAAGAGGTGTGGCAGTATACAAATCGATGATGTCACCATAGTCTATTAACTGTAAAATATCACTTTCGCATTGATTATCAACAGAGAGGAAAGGCGGTCTTGTCCCATCGTTGACCGTAGCCGATTTTTTACAATCTTCAGCTTTGAAAAAGCTCTTTCGCAGTTTGCTGAGCCTATTGGCAAAGTGAAGAGAATCTTGTAAAGAAGGAAGAGCTGTGGAAAGGCAATTTGCAGGTTATACTTATCATCAACTGAAGAATTGAATGGAAATTTTCTCTGCTTAAATCATGATTTTCTCCAGCAACCGGCTGAGGGCCGCTCTCCTCTCTAACTTTTCTCAATTCGCAGTAATTGTTGACGAAAGAGCTGTACTCATCTCTTAATTTTTCGTCATCCAAGCCGTAATTCTTCGAGACTGTCTTGAATGACATCGCACACAACTGTTTTTTAATTGTATTTTCAAAACATTCAGGGTCGAGCAAGGCAAAATCTGTCAAATTTGCCTTATGAGACGTGAATCTTCGATTCATTGAGCTGGTAACTGTATCTACTGCAAAGTTAAATGAATCACGATGATAAACGAATTCCCTAGTTTCTTCCAACACATCCATGCAATTTTCCCCTGGCATTCTTTCTTTCTGCGTACTCGTCGCTCGGCAAAATTTTGCTCTTCCAAGTCTTGGCGAAAACAATAACTTTTTGCGTCTTCTAAAACACCAGCGAATTCATTTCGAAATAAACTGAGTTTACCTTCAGCTGTTTCCATAAGCCATATTGCCTTTCGGATATCGATTTTTTCTGTCTAGAGGTATAAGGATGCAGGATTTGTTATTGCGAATATTTGATGGAAAAGATGAGCTGTTAGTATGGTTTAAAAGGAACATATCTTGTTTACCAGTGCTTTTGCATCTGTGATGGTTTCTCTGCTGTGCTCTGTTGACATGCACTTGTGTAATGCATCGACAAAACAATCGTACAGCAATTTCGAATTTCCAAAA